TGAGTTCATATCTTCATTTTAGATGTGGGGAAACTAAGGCTCAGAGGCAGTACATATCTCATGTTCTTAAAGTCTGCTTAGGAGGCAATATTTCAGAGAAGTAAAAAATATGAATGTTCCCAAAGAATATGTGGAAGCAGCCATACAACCATTTGCCTAGAAAGAAAGCTCTTGAGGCAGGAAGGGTTAATGAAAGAAGCATGAATGGAAGTGGTAAGCAGAGAGAGGAATGGGAAGAACGCTGTTACATTGTTGGATTTCAATCAATGTAACAAAACCAAATGTGTATGAATTATTGAATGGAAAACCAATTTGCTCTGGAAACTTTCATCCAAATCACAATAAAAGGTTAAATAGAAATTAATAAAAATTAAATCAGCAGAGAGTCTAAATAAAGAATTATTGCTGTTGTTGTTAGGTGTATTGAGTTGACAATGAATCATAATGACCCTATGTACAATAGAATGAAACACTGCCCAGTCCTGTGCCAACCTTACAATTGTTATTAAACTTGAGCCCATTGCTGCTATCAGTGTGCTAACTCATCTCGTTGGGGGTCTTCCTCTTTCTCTGACCTTCCATTTTACCAGACATGATACCATTCTCCAAGGATTGGCCCCTCCTGATAATATGTCTGAAGTATGAGAGGCGAAGTCTAACCATCCTAACTTCCAAAGAGCACTCTGGCTGTACTTAATCCAACACAGATTTGTTTGTTCTTTTGGAAGTCCATGGTACTTTCAATATTTTCCTCCAACATCATAACTCAATTGCATCAATTCTTCTACAGTCTTCCTTATTCACTGCCCAACTTTCACGTGCATATGAGGTTATTGAAAATACCATGGCTTGAATCAGGCACATCTCAGTCCTCAAACTGACATCTTTGCTCTTCAACACTTTAGAGAGGTCTTGTGCAGTAGATTTGTCTAATGCAATATATCGTTTAATTTCTTGACTGTTGTTTTCATGAGTGTTGATGGATGATTAGAGCAAAATGGAATTTTTGGCAACTTCAATCTTTTCTCCATTTATCTTGATGTTATTTATGGTCCAGTGGTGAGGATGTTTGTTTTCTTTACATTGAGATGCCACCTATACTGAAAGCTATGGTCTTTGATCTTCATCAGTTAGTATTTTAAATCCTCTTCACTTTCAGAAAGCAAGATTGTATCATTTGCATATTGCAGGTTAATAAGTATTCCTTCAATCCTGATGCCATGTTTTTCTTCATATAATCCAGTTTCTCAGGTTATTTGATCAGAATACAGATTGGATAAGTATAATGAAAGAATACAACCGTGGCACACACCTTTCTGAATTTTAAACCATTCATGGTTCCTTTGTTCTGTTCGAACAACTGCCACTTGGTCTATGTGCAGCTTCCTCATGAGCACAATTAAGTGTGCAGAATACCCATTCTCTGCAATGTTGTCCATAGCATGTCATGATCCACACAATTGAAAGCCTTTGCATAGTCAATAAAGCACAGACACACACCTTTCAGGTATTCTCTGCTTTCTCCCAAGATCCATCTGACATTAGCAATGATATCCTTCATTCTTCTTCCTCTTCTGAATCCAGCTTGAACCTCTGGAAGTTCTCTGTCAATGTATGATTGCAGCTGTTTTTGTATAATCTTTAGCAAGATTTTACTTGCATGCGATATTAATGATATTGTCTGATGATTTATGCATTTTGCTGGGTCACCTCTCTTTGGAATAAGCACAAATATGGATCACTTTCAGTCATTTGGCCAAGTAGTTGTCTTCCAAATCTCTTGGCATAGATGTGTGAGTGCCTCCGGTCCTGCAGCAGTAGTTGAAAATTTTCAATTTGTATTCCATCTATTCATGGAGGTTTGTTATTTGCTAATGTCTTCACTGCACCTTCTACTTCTTCTTTCAGTAGCATTCATTGGTTCTTGATCATATGCTACCTCTTGAAATGGTTGAACATCTACTATTTCCTTTTGGTACAGTGACTCTGTATATTCCTGCCATCTTCTTTTGATACTTTCTGCATCATTCAATAATTTGTCCATAGAATCCTTCAATATTTCAAGTTGAGTCTTGAATTTTTTCTTCAGTTCTTTCAGCTTGAGAAATGCTGAGCGTGTTCTTCCCTTTTGGTTTTCCAACTCCAAGTCTTTGCACATTTTGTCATAATATTTGACTTTGTCTTCTTGAGCTGCTTTTTGAAATTTTCTGTTCAGTTCTTTTATCTCCTCATTTCTTCCATCTGCCTTACCATCTGTACTTTAAAGAACAAATTTCAGTCTCTTCCCAAATACATTTTAGTTTTTTCCTTCTTTCTTTTCTGCTTAATAACCTTTTGCTTTCTTTCTGTATGATGTTCTTGATGTCATCCTACAACTCTTCTGGTCTTCGGTCTTTAATGTCTAATGCATCAAATCTGTTCTTGAGATGACCTCTAAATTTAGGTGGGGTATGTTCAATGTCATGTTTTGGCTCTTGTGTATGTGTTTCAATATTCTTTAGCGTCACTCTGAACTTGCATATCTGTCTATTGCACAGTCTTCCCTGAACCTTGTTTTGGTTGATTATGTGGAGTTTTTCCACTGTCTCTTTCCACAGATGTAGTTAATTTGATTTCTGTATAGTCTATCTGATGAGGTCCATGTGTAGGTCTTTTATGTTTAAAAAAAGGTATTTGCAATGAGTAGTCTTTGGTCTTTGAAAATTCTATCATGTGATCTCCAGCATCATTTCTATCACTAAGGCCATATTTTTCAACCATTGATCCTTCCTTATTTTCAACACATCTTGATTATGTGTTTGATCAATTTCAGAGAATATGTGTAGTCAAATCGAGCTGGGAGTATATCTTTCATCCTTGGTGGCCTTGATTAAGTTGCTTTTCTAAGACTCCACTGGAAATAATAATAATGGGAACAATAATCCTACCTCATAGAGTTGTCAGGAAGGACCAGTCACTGGAGAAGGACATCATGTTTGGTAAGGTGGAGGGTCATAGAAAAAGAGGAAGACCCCCAGTAAGATGGTTTGGTAAAGTGGCAGCATCAATGGGCTCAAGCGTGGCAACAATTGTGAGGTTGGCCTAGGACTGGGCAGTGTTTCATTCTGTTTTATATAGGGTTGCTATGAGTCAGTACCAACTCAATGGTACCTAACTACAACAACATAGAGTTATGAGAATTAACCGAGGCAATGAAGGTAAATGTTGGCATCTTGCACATAGCACAGAAGCAGCAGCAATCATATTATAAGTAATTTAGTGGGAAACATGGAGTCTCTGGATGGTGCCAACAAAGTTCTCAGTTACTAATCAAACGGTTGATGGCTGAAACTCACCCAGATGCACCTCAGAAGGAAGGCCAGGTGATCTTCTGAAAGATCAGCCTTTGGAAACCCTATGGAAAACAGCCCTACTCTGAAACACATTAGGTCACCATTAGTCAGAACTGACTACACTGTAATTGCACCTACTCAACGGTCCACCTGGTTAGGTTCCAAAGACCAAGTTTTCATTGTGAAAAATGCAAAAATGGAGGCTCTTCCCTCCACTCGTTTTCAGACTAGCCATTTGTCTGATTGTCATTATTTAGAAGACATGAGCTTAGAAAGAATAACAGCTAAGATTTACTAATGTGCTCACCACTGTGACACGTCCAGTTATGGATTATCTGTCTGTGGAGAAGGAGACTTGGAGGAGACAATGCAGAGTTCTGTGACTTGGGGGCTTAACTACTTCATCTCCCTCCTGTGGCAGGTCAGAACCTCCCCATAAGTCTTGCATTCGTGATCATGCAGCCTGCTCTGCCCTCGGGCTTCAGGCCCGGTTGGAATCTCTGTAGGATGTCATGAAACTCACACACACTTCTTCCATACATTCTTTCAGATGCCTTTTTCTTTCCTTTCTTCTCACCCCACAGGAATTTTGAGATGTAAGTTGAGATGTAAGGTGGCCACAGAAGAGTTGGGAGTCCAGAACAGCATTGTTCATAGAGGAGGCTGGCCCTTGGAATAGCCAAACACAGCACCCATCTCCCCAAAGAGGGAACTGATGGTGAAGGTCAGTGCCCTCCTGCTTTGTGGAGGCCACCAAGAGAACTGCTAAGTGACCCTCCTGCAAGAATAGGCTATTTCAGAGCCCTTGTTAATGTGCAAAATGTTTGGATAGTAGATTTTTCACTATTGCCATAAATGAGAAAGGTCGGATAATGTGATAGATAAGTGAGCAGTGTTGTTGTTCTAACTCCTAGTGACCCTGCATTGGGTTTCTGAGGAGCAGCTGGTGGATTTGAACTGCCAACTTTGTGGTTCGCAGTCCAGTACTATAGCACCACACCAGAAGTCCAAATGAGCAGTAGGTACATATTTTTTTCTCCAGTAAAAGGTACATATTTTTTCCCCAGTAAAAATTTACAGTGTTCCATCACTTTAAATTTTGAAAAGCAATGACTATCACCTTTAGAAGAGCAAGACTCAATGTGGGGCTGGAGTCTAAGATTTTAAACAGACTGAAGAGCTTGGAAGTTCTGGGCAGTGTCCCTGTATTGGAAACTCTACTCATTTCTGTTTGACCAGATATTTCTAGTTGTTGATTGGGCTTTGTGAATCCATAGGTCCTTTCCAGCCTCATGAGTACCTTGCACCAAAGTGACTCAAAGATTCCTGCCATGACCAGTGTTTTGACCTTGTCTAAATCTTAAATGAAAAGGAAGAGCTGTTTTCAGTTTAACTGAAAGGAGTGTTTAGTTCCTGCTAAGGACATTTCATGGCATCTGCATTCTAACTTGGGACATAAATCAAATTTTGAGACTCAGCGATACTAGTATTCAATATACTTCAAAAGTGATTTGCTTAGAGATAATGTGCCTTTTAGTGTTTTAAGAGGAAACACTTTCGCCTTCAAGAAGATGCCTTTTAAATTTGAGGATGATTTTAGTCATTAGAAAACAGTACCAAAGATATTATTACCTGCTTCTTTCAGGAAGGTAGAACTAGCATACATACGTTTTAATTTCCTGGCAGATCTTGGAAATAAATGGAAGTGAACAAATATTAAAATCATGTCCAGGATATTTCTGGAGAGAGAGAGAGAGAGAGAGAAAGAGTTGTTTAGTCCAAGGAATGGTTCCCTACTTCTAGGGTTGCTTTCTCTTCTGTTGACACCGTAGTCTGCATTTCTGGACCTTGGTCTTCTAGATTCGGTCCCCATTTTATTGATCCAATTTACCTTTGGTTCCTGTACCCAAATTCTATATAAGTCCCAGATGTCTTATTCCTGCTGGTTCCTCAGTCTGGAAGGTTCCTCCCTCGACCCTCTTGTCTTCACCCAGGCAGCTACTCCCTCACTTTCCATCCCTTCCTAAGTATGGCTGGTCCACCTTAATTCATTCTACTTTGACAATAACGTTATTCTCCCTCATTCTACTAAAATGCTTTGAAAGAGGTCTTGGAAATAATCATATTTTAAAGTAAAAGTAGTCCATCTTTGTTGTTGTTTTGAAGTGCTGTCAAGTGGGTTCCCATAGCAAACCTATATAGGGTTTCCAAGGAGCAGCTGGTGAGCTTGAACTGCCAACCTTGTGGTTCAAACTGACTTTGTAGTTCAGTGAATTAACCACAGCACCATACCAAGATTCCATTCTATTATTGTGTAAAATAAAGACTAAAGGAAGAAACCTATCTAGAGCTTGGGAAGAAAGAAATTCCCTTCCCATTGGAGCAGAAGAGATGTACCAATAAACTTCTAAAGTTTTGGAAGCAAAAGGCTTTCATATGTGGGTTCTCTAAAATTTTAGATGTTTGACAAAAACGATGTGTTTCCACTCAACAGTGCTTTTAGGAAGAATGTGCTTTCCATGATGCTTTCTTCAAATGAAAGAAAATGAAGACAACAGGGTAGGAATTTATCCATGAAGGAAAAGATACAGTTGAAATTTGCCAGCAAATGGAACCACTTTGAGGTAATTTAGAGGCGCTGACAGTGTTTTGACCCTGGCAAAGGACACTCAGCAACCTTTTCAGAATGTAAACAAGACATTGAAAGATCTTGGAGATTGATGCTTTGCTTTCTAGGACCAGAGGAACAATCATGAATAGGCTCCTCATCTATATTGCAAAGTATGGAGACAGAAGAAGAGATCCTCACAGAGCTTATAGTTTAGTGAGGAATCTAGGTGGGCATCTCAGGCCTCAACACATCCAGTGATGTATGAAGTGGTCCAGGGATTTGCAAGGTTCTCTACAAACCCCATGGAAGATGCAGGGGGTGACCTAGATGTCAAGTAGGAAAAAGCCAGGAGGGAAGGAAGATAAAGATGCTCTGAGACTCTGTGTCTCAAAGTGCAGTCCGTGGACTTGAAGAAGCACAAATTCTTGGGCTTTACCTCATTTCTACGGAATCAAAATCTCTGGAGTCCCCACTAAAGTCTGAGAACCACTGGTCTAGGACCTGGCTACTCAAAGCACAACTATAAACTATTAACATGGGTGCCACCTGGGAGCTTGTTAGAAATGCTGAGTCCCAGGCCCCAACCCAAGCCTACTGAATCGAATCTGCATTGTAACAAGATCCTCAGGTTGTTTGGAGAAATGGCTCTAGGCAGTGGAAATGTTTATGCAGTGCTGTGGAAATCTGAGGTTTGGTATCTTAGGGGACCTCCAAACAATTTGACAAGACTAGACTAGAGAATCATGGGAGTACAGTGAACTGAGGAAGGAAGGAGCCATTTCAACAAGCCTACAATGCAGCTGCTTGCTTCTCCTGAGGATGGCGGCATCCTTGAAGGAGTTACGCAGAGAAATCTCATTTGTGTTTCAGAAAGCTATCTGTGGGGTGGCAGGATGGCTAGGGGAGAGGAGAGCTTGAAATGGGGCAGAAAGATTCCTTAGCAGATAGAGACCTTGAGGCCCAATTCCAGGGTTCCTAACCATAGCACTATTGACATTTGATGAGGGATAACTTGGTTAGTAGTCCTTGGGAGTCCTGGTATGTCACTGTGGTCTAATGCATCAGACTGCAAAATCATTTGAACTGCAAGGTTGGCGGTTCAAGCTCACCAGCTGCTCCTTGGAAACCCTAAACAGGGTCTCTATGGGTTGGAATTGACTTGACGGCACTTCACAACAACAGTCCATGGTGGTGCAAATGGTTAAGCACTTTGAAAGCTAGGTGGTTTGAACCCACCCAGAGGTTTGCAAGAAAGTCCTGATGATCTGCTTTCAAAAGGTCACGACCTTGAAAGCCCTATGGAGCAGTTCTATTCTTCACACACCGGTTCCCCACGTGTCAGAATCAACTCAATGGCAACTTTTTTCTTTCTTGTGGGGCTCCTCTGTAATGTAGGGTGTGGAGCAGCATCCCTGGTCTATACCCACTACATAGCACGAAAATGGCTGCAGACATTGTCCAATATCCCCTGGAGGACAAAATCAGCATTAGTTTAGAATCACTGTGGTAAAACTGGGGGTGAATGATGAAAAGAAGAAGGGTGTTTAGAAAGTTGAATCCAGAGACTCGGTAACTGATTGAGACCTTGGATTCTAGACACATAATAACACCAGGACCAGCACAAAATGATACAACAGTGGGTGTAGTTTGGAAGTATAGATAGTCACCTTCTGAGAGCCAGAGTTAGCCATCAGGTTACAATGTTTATATTATACTTTAAAAATATATATATATTTGCTTTAGTCTGAAAGTTTTGGTATAATTAACCTAATGGCAAAGTTGATTTTAACACTGACGATAACCAATACATTTTAAAAAATGATATGAACAGCTTTATAATTACTCTGCGAGAGGTACAATAGACGAAAATTTTATAATCACACAGCTGCTCATTTTCAAAGTTCAGCCTGAAGGCTGCAGCTGTCTTTAATAGTCATTGTGCAAAAAATGGGGCAAGGAGATGGGCAGCAGATGATGCAGCTTTCCCATGTCCTCCCTCCCCAACCTCCCAAACTCTTCCTATTTAGATCGAAACTTTGATGATCTGATGTTTTTATCATACAGTGTAGGACCTGGCTACTCAAAGCACAACTATAAACTATTAACATCATCCTCTTTTACCAATTTGTTTGTGAATCCGAACTGAAATGAACACGGCAGCATTGCAGAAGTCCTTACTTGTGTGTTTGACAGCCACTTTCTTCCCATTTGCACTTGGCTAGACAGAGTCAAATTGTGGGCTGTTATTAACTCAGCAATAGATTTAAAATATCGCATCTGGCTGCATCTAATCCATCTCAAATGAAAGTCTCCAGTCTGACTGTCTCTGGGGAAAGCAGCCAGGCAGCGTCTTAGGTTTTCAATCTATTTACCATCTCTGGGTGTCTCACACATCCGCATATCAAATGATTACAGGGCCCAAAACAAGGCTTGAATAAAAAATGGGGTGAATAGGGTAAATAGAAGGTTAACAGAGAGCAGAGGCACTCTTCTGTAGACAGACAACCAGAAGATGAATTTCTATATGGTGAAGTACTCGTCAACCCTCTCAGTGTATTAGTATTAAAAACAAACCAGTTGTTAAATCAACTCTGACTCATGGCGACCACATGTGTTTCAGAGTAGCACTGTGCTCCGTAGGCTTTTCAATGGCTTATTTGGGGGATGGGGAGTAGATCACCAGACCTTTCTTCCAAGGCATCCCTGGGTGGACTTAAACCTCCAACCTTTTGGTTAGCAGCTGAGCATGTTAACCCAGGGATGCCGTGTGGGGTATTGCCTGAAAATCGGCAGTATTTAAAAATTCCCCAGATGACTCTACAGATCAGCACATGACTATGAACTGTGCGTTATTCCAATACCCATGTAGCCTAGGAGCGATCAACAGTGGAAAGAGTATGAAACTTGGAAATAGGCAGATCTGGATGTAAGTGATAGATTTCTCACTGAGTAGTTGTGGAGTCCTGGTGTGGAGCTGTAGGATAATGCACTGGGCCATCAAATAGATTTGGACTTCAAGTTCAGAGGTTCCAACTCAACAGCAGCTCATTGGAAACCCTATACAGAGTTGCTATGCATTGGAATTGACTCAATGGCATTTAGCAAAGAAAAAAACCAAACAGCTGTAGAAGTGGATAAATTATTTAATCTCAGTCTTCTTTTCTGTAATATGGAATTGATAACAAAAACACTGCAACTAAGGTTCGCAGGGGTTCAGTGGGAGAGCGATAAATAGTATTGTATGCTCAACCTTGGAAAAACAGAGTTCTGTGATATAGAAACTGAGGCATGGCTTGAATGGGTAAAAGAGGGGAGATAATGTTAAGCTTAACTGTCTAATGAATCTTGGTTTCCCTTGCCTTCTATTGTAAAATAGACTCTTGATGGGGAGAGAAAGGAATAGTCAGAAGCATCACTATAGAAAGCTTATAAGTCTATTTTCAGCCTATAACTGATTGGAATACCTAAAAGAGGGCTAGAACTTGCCCAATGAAACAGACTTCTTGCAGAGCCTTTGCATTGTATAAAATGGTAGACGGACTCCTGATCTCCATCCAGAATCTTCTGAGGTGGGAAATTTCCACTTGAAAAGACAAGCAGACCTGCTTGGAGCAGCTAAAGGAACATAGATACTTCTTGAAAGAAAAGCCAGCAGGAAAAATCAAAACAGTAATGCCAGTATGGCAGCATGATTGACTACTGTAAGAACAAGCAAGTTGTTCATAGGGAGCCATCAAGGCAAGCAATCAAGTCCCCTCAGGGCAAATCCCCTTCCAAGACTGAAATTCAAAGGGAATATATGAGCAGGCATGTAATCTGGCTGGTGATCACATTGGTCTATCAATAAAGGGAAGTGGGGGGAAAACCAGCAAAGAAGCTGTGAGGTTAAGTTCGACCACGTTCAATAGACTCCTGTCAACCTGGATCGCGACCTGGGTGGCCAGGTGTATAGCAAGACTTGGGGACTCCTGAGCCCATGGATAGGGACATAGTCACAGAGGACTACAGTGAAAAGTAAAGTATTCAGCTGATGTGAAATGAGGGGAGATGTACAACAACACCCATACTTGCTGATAGTATCCATTTGACCTAGCTTCAATGGCTGGATGATCAGAACTCGACTAGAGGAAGAAAGAAGAGGAAAAAGAGTGTAATCTGCTACATTTTGATGAACTTGACCTATACTTATGGATGTAGTAGCTTAAAAGAGGGAACATATCTTTCCAGCAAGGATCATTTCTACCCCTTCTGTACACAGGGTTGACAGGGATGGGCAACTTAGACATTGCCTACCCAAAATGGGGAGGGGAGCAACAAAGGCACGAAGTGACTGGCTTACAAGTTTGCAAAGGGAGCTTAGTTTCAGAGGGTATGGGGGAAGGTAGAATATTCACTGAGTGGTTTCCAACCTGTCTAGATGGGACTGGTGAAAGGAGATGGGGATAAGACTCTTGTGGTTCAATAGTGAATGATTGCTATCAGGACTGATTGTGAATGTTGCAAATGTAAAGGTAAACATTTTGTAACAAAAGGAGGGGAGTGGTTGATCTTGTAGTCCAGGAGCAGAGGACCCTGGGACCATCAAGGAAGAAGAGTGGAGTGCGGGACCCTATCCAGAGAAGCAGCCGTGCCATAGATGGAGGCAGAGACGATGAGGAGGAGAGATGGAGCGGCTGGGGACTCTAGACTCAAGGAGGGAGAGGGGCTGTGTGCTGGCGGCCAGGGGGCTGGCGTGGAGGTTGTTTGAATGGTTCTATATTCCTGTATGCTTTGGTGTACATCCAAAAAACAAAAACAGAGGGTTTGGAAGTAAATGCTGTTGAATGATGATGCATGGAGGGGACTGAAATCATTGCAATGAAACAAAATACGATAGGATGTAAAGTTGGTGCTCCATGTAAACTATCAGTCAATTCACAATAAAAACTTATAAAACAAAAGAAAGAAAAAAGTTTATTAGTGGTTAGCAGGAGCTTGGGAAGGAGGGACTGGAAGATGTTGCCTAAAGGATATTGAGTTTCTGTTTGAGGTGATGACTAAATTTTGGAAATGGGTAGTGGTGATTCTTGTAAAATATGGTGACTGTGATTAATATTTCAGAGTTATTGTTGTTGTTGTGTGCTGCGGAGTCGGCTCCGACCCATAGCGACCCTGTACAGGGTTTCCGAGGCTGTAAATCTTTACAGGAGCAGAAAGCCTCATCTTTCTCCCATGGAACAGCTGGTAGTTTCGAACTGATGACCTTGCTGTCCGCAGCCCAATTCGTAACCACTATGTTGTTGTTGTTGTTGTTGTCAGGTGCCATCGAGTCAGAACCGACTCATAGCGACCCTATGCACAGCAGAACGAAACAATGTTCGATCCTGGGCCAACCTCACTACCGCTGCTACACCTGAGTCCATCAATGATGCCACCTGGCTGATCCATCTCGTTGGGGGTCTTCCTCTTTTTCTCTGACCTTCCACCCTACCCAGCATGACATCCTTCTCCAGCGATTGTTTCCTCCGGACAATATGTCCAAAGTAGGAGAGACGAAGTTTAGCCATCCTGGCCTCCAAGGAGCACTCTGGCTGCACTTCTTCCAAAACAGATTTATTGGTTCTTTTGTCAGTCCACGGCACTTTCAGTATTCTCCTCCAACACCACAACTCAAAGGCATCAGTTCTTCTACAATCCTCCTTATTCATTGTCCAGCTTTCGCATCCATATAGTACACCACTATAGTACACTTAAAATGGCAAAATTTTTGTTATATATATTTTATCTCAATATAATAATTGAGAACATATGAAACAAAACAAAATGAAAAACACTGCATCTATTTTTGTAGGGGTTTTGGTGAGAATTAGGTAAGATGATCCTATAGCTCAGGTACTGCAAACCCTTATTAGATGCTCTGTTCCCTGTTAGCTATAGTAAAAGTCTTTGCAAAGAGTCCCTCACAGCTTCATGGAAGCTGAGCTCTTCTCTTGAATATTTTGTTTCCTTTGAGGTACTTGTTGTTGGTAAGTGCCGTCAAGTCGGTTCCGACCCATAGCGACCCTGGATAGGGTTTCCAAGGAGCAGCTGGTGAGCTTGAACCACCAACCTTACAGTTCAAATGGCTTTGCAGTCTGGTGCATTAACCCACAGCGCCACACCAGGATTTATATTTCCCCAATCTGGATACTCCACGTCTGGCAGACTGTGTTGCAGTAATATGCAACCTAGTGTGGAATTTAGGTTGTGCAAACAGCTCATATAGAGGTTGAGTCCACCCAGAGAAATTTGGGGAGAAATGGCTGACAATCTACTTCCGAAAATAGAAAGAAAAAAAAAAATCAGCTATTAAAAACCCAATGGAGCATAATTCTGCTCTGACACACATGGGATGTCTCCATGAGTTGGAGTCAAGTTGATAACACTATGGAAAAGAAGTGTTTCTTTTTGATTTCTGCCCGAGTCTGTGGTTTCCTCAGCCATCACAGCTGAATTAATTGCTGCCAGGATTTTTGAGCCTTTTTCACAGCCGCTTATTTGCATTCCTGAGATATTTTTTCCTTGATCATTTTAATCTGGAAAGTAAATAAATTGGGGAGGTTTTTGAAGAGTTTTTTTATTTTTAATTGTTGAATTGTCTGGTAAGATTTTTTCTTTCTTTCTTTCTTCTTTTTCTCTCAAGGAATTATTGGAATCCTGCCCCACGAATTAAGCTTGTAATGCTGGTGACAGAAATAAAAAAAATCATAAAATCCTAATTAGCCTTTGAATGAATGCCAAGGCAGTTAGTGCTAGTGAAGTAAACAATGCCCAGAGAATAAAGTTTTGAGATTCACATTGAGGAGAATGAAAGGGGAATCAAGTCATTTTTCATTTCTGCTCAGATCTCGATTGTGGTCAAGGGTTTCATGTGCTGCTCCCTTTCTTGTTCAAAGACTTAAGCAGATTAACTGAACTGAGTCCCGTTGGCCTTTAATTATTTTACTGAATTAAATAATGATTGGCAAGGCAAACATCGTGATCTAGTAATTGGTTGTTTAGAATTTTCCAGTATATTGCCATTCAACATGTATTTCTTTACACATAAAAATCTCTATGTCTTCCATGAGTAGGTCATGAGATAAAATATTGTTGTTCATTGTTGTTGTTGTTAAGTGATGCCAAGTTGGTTCCAACCCATAGTGACCCTGCATAAGGTTTCTAAGGAGTGAATGGTGAGCTTGAACCACCAACTTTGCAGTTAAAACTGCTTTGCAATCTGGCGCATTAACCCACAGCACCACAACAGGCCACCTATAGCATCATACATACACTAAAAAGTGTTCAATGTTTATCTGAAATAAAATCTAACTAGGCATCTTGTATTTTTATTTGCTAAATCAGGCAATCCTAACAATGAAGGATTTTCACCCCCTGACATCCATGTTTCCAAATCAGTAATACCTTCCACGCATTGCATCGGGATGAGTGATGAGTTTGACCAGCAGAGAAAAGCCAAGGACAAGGTTTATGCCCTCTCGGTTCTGACAAATGAACGCTTCCTTCCTGGCAGGGGTTTTAGTATCTGTTGAGAATGATGCTGTTCATTAAAGGTCTGCTTTTCTGATTTATTTTCGATTGTGGCTGATTTGCAGTAGGATGTAAGTAAATTCATGACTCTGGAATAATTTATTTGAACTAAACATCGTATCTGTTGAACAAAATCATCATTACAGAAAGGACAAAGGAGAGGAGAGGAATAATACTTGTGATTTTGTTTTCTTTCTTTTTTTGTGGTGATGAATACATACATAACAAATCACAGACCAACTCAACAATATCTACATGTGCAATTCTATGACTTCGATTATATTCTTCAACGTGCACAACCCCTCTGTCTCCCTGCTTATGAATCATTCCAGTGAATGGAGATGTTATCACTAACATTTACTGATACCAGGTGCTTTGCACACATTATCTCACTTGATCCTCACATGAATTTGTAAGCCAGGCACTGTTATTGCCCCTTTTTATAGCATAGAAAACTGAGGCTCACAGAGATTGGGCACTTTGCTGAAGGTCACATTTCTATTAAGTGGAGGAGCAGAAGAATGTAGTCTCCAAAATATTCTACTGGAGAACAGTGGTTCCCCATCAAGGGTGATTTTGTCCCCTTGGGACATTTGGCAGTATCAGGAGACATTTTTGGTAGTCTCTTTGGATGTGGTGGATGATGCTCCTGGAATCTAAATAGTGGAGAGAGAGGTGTTGCTAAGCATCCTACAAATACACAGAGTAGCTTCAATTGTAAACAATCATTCAGTCCAAAATGTCAACCCTGCTACAGAAAACATGGCAAGAGAAGAAAGGGGGAAGGATCTTATGTTACCATTTCAGAATGAACATCGGCATGGCCCTTGGCTTTTGGGGTGTGAAAACAGGACCAGTTAGAGGGAAGTAGACCAAAGGAAAGGCTGGCATTTTGCAGGCCAATTGCTTACCAGAATCTGGGGTTTCTTGATAATGTTTCTTGCCTTCTTTAGTGTAAATTTCCAGGTTGCCTACAAAAGCAAAGTTAGACATTGTGAACCACTGTGTCCCATTTTTTTCTTTCCATGTCTATTCTAATGCTAGGGTTTTTAAAGTCGTTAAATTGGCAATAAGGAGATTAATTCATAAATTTGTAATAAAATAATTCACAAGAAGGCAATTCCATGTTAATAACACCTTTATTAAGGACTTAACTCTCTGCCAGACAGTGTGCTGAGTGTTTTATACACATGATCCTATTTAATCCTCACAACAGCTTTGAGGGTATGACCATTTGACAGATGAGAAAATTAAGATGCTGAGAAGTTACAACACTGGCCCATGATCACATATCTAGTGTCTGTTAGAGATGCAATTTGAATGCCTGCCATCCTAATTGCTAGGCTACACAGATTTCCCTAAGTAACTTCTACGTGTGTCCAAAAGTTATCGCCAGCTGGAAAGTGCTAACAGGCATCTTCAGTGAGTCATGCTCAGTAGCATGAGGTCATGCTACCATGTACGATGGCTGACTACCAGCCATGTAAGAATTCACCTCTCATTCACCTTCTCTTCTCATTAAATGTCCCTGTTCTCATGAAACCATTTCTAGAGCAACTAAATGCCTCTGCCAAGTTCACATTGCAAGTTAAAGAGTTAGTTAATGAGGCTTTCTGCTCCCACAAAGGTTTTTAAAGCCTTAGAAACCCTATACAGGGCCAACTGCGGCTGTACAGAATTGATAACAACAACAACATAGTTACAAAAAAGGAGCCATGGTGGAACTTTGGGTTAGACATTGTACTGTTAAATGCAAGATCAGCAGTTCAAACACATGGGCCGCTCCACTGGAGAAAGATGAGGTTTTCTGCTCTCATAAAGATTTACAGCGAAAAAGAGGAAGACCCTCAACAAGATGGACTGACACGGTGATACAACAATTGGCTCAAGCATAACAATTGTGAAGGAGGTACAGGACTGGACAGTGTTGCATTCTGTTGTTCCTAGGGTCACTAAGAGTTGGAACTGACTTCATGGCACCTAACAACAACAACGACCCAAGAAGGGTTTGGAGTCAGGGTGAGGCACTGTAGGATAAGCATAGGATTACTAACCTCAAGGTCAGCAGCTCAGGCCCACAATCCCCTCCTTGGAAACCTCATACAGGGTTGCTATGAGTTGGAACCAACTTAACAGCACTTAACCACAAAAAGAAGGGTTTAACATTTTCCTGACCTTGGGAAACATGATGATAAATTTTTCTAGCTTTCAGCCTCACAGCTATGCTGTCCAGTACATTTTTTTTTTTTAATGTATTGATCATCATCTCAGAAATCCACAGATTTTGCCAAGTTTCCATAGCTTTACCACATATGACAGTTATTACTTTAACACTTTCCAGAGTGGCTTCACATACAGATTACTGAGTTTCCTTTTTCTAGATGTACCATATTATTGATTCATTAACATTGAACTTACAGTTAGTAGAACTATAGCTCATGCATGCATGAAGCTATCTAATATATATATATATATATTTGCTGTTGTTGTTAAGTACCGTGGAGTTGGTTCCTTCCAACTCATAGCAACCCTTTACTGGATTTCCAAGGCTGTAAATCTTTACGGGAGCAGAAAGCCTCATCTTTCTCCTGTGGAACAGCTGGTAGTTTCAAACTGCTGACCTTGTGGTTTGCAGCCTGATTCGTAACCATTATGCTACCAGAGCTCTCTCTCTCTCTCTACATATATATATCTATATCTTTTTGAGCTCCATATATATCTTTTTAAGGCATATCACAGCCTTCTTGGACATACAAATACTGGACAACACTAACCCTACCTTTGAGGGCCAGTGAAATCACCAACAAAAACCACAAAAATACGGCACTGAGTAAATTGAATAAAGGACGCTTGTTTACAGTATGGGAGTTGTAACAAGAAGGCAGAACATCACTTTTTTCAAAATCAAGTGGAAATGTGCTTATCAGGCAACTTAAGTTGGTAGCCATTCTGTGCATGTCTTTGAACTTGAAAGTGCCACAGTGTTGATTTTAGAGACACAGTGGCTTTTGTGAGTTGGCGTGATAGTTAAGGTTTTGTGTTAAGTTAACTGGGCCAGAATTCTCAGAGGTTTGGTAGTTGGGTTGTAGCCATCTTCCATGATGTGACTTGCTGTGATAAACCAATAAGAGGATTATGGGAGATTCCCAGGGATGTGGCCTGCAACACCTTTATTTTATAAGAGATTAAAAGAGAGAGACTTAAGCTGAGAAAGCAGGCCCTACTACCACCAAGATAGGAGCTCAAGGAGTGGAATGCGTCCTTTGAGCCTGGGATCCCTGCACTGTGAGACTCCTAGATCCTAGCAGATGGATGTCAAGGTGTATGGAAATCTCCAAGGAATATGGGGACTACTTTAAGATACTGAAAGGTCAACAGAAAGAAAGCATTCTCTTAGAGCTGGTACCCTGAATTTGGACTTCTAGTCACTAAACTGTAAGAGAATAAATTTCTGGTTTTTGGAAAGTCATCCCCTTGTGGTATTTCTGTTATAACAGCATTGGAGAACTAAGATAGTACGTGAATTCACCAATGTGGAATAGGCAAATAATGAGACTCTACTGTAACTGTTACCGCTCTCACCTGCAAAGAGTTTAGCATTTAATGGGTGAAAAAAGTCATGTACAAGTATGAGTTTATTAAAATAAGAATTGTAAAGAATATAGAGAAAGGGAAAGCTGTACTGGGGGAAAACAACAGAAGAGAGCAATTGAGGAGCATTGGGAGGAAGAGACCCTTGAGTTGAGCTGACCACAGGACTAAGATTTCAGCAGGCAGAGGTGGATGGAAGGGAAAGAATATTTTAGGCAGTTGTTGTGATGTGTCATGGAGTCGGTTCCGACTCATAGCGACCCTGTACAGGGTTTCTGAGGCTGTAAATCATTACAGGAACAGAAAGCCTCATCTTTCTCCCATGGAACAGTTGATAGTTTCAAACTGCTGACCATGAGATTCGCAGCCCGATTCAGAACTCCTTATTTTAGGCAGAGGGGGCATCATAAGTAAGGGTTTGCAATGAAGTGAATATTTCAGACTTTCCAGCTACATGAATGGAAAGAAGAAGAGAAACCCTGGGGAAGGGGATGATAGCTAAAGAATAGAAGGTCTTAAATGTCATGACAAAAGTTTGGTCTTTATCCCAAAGGTAGATATTGAACATGGCATTTTTTGAGCAGAAGTCAGGGTCAGTGACAAGAGTTAGGGAAATTAAAATTGCAAAAAGATCAAACATTACTTTCTCCCATAGTTACTATTCAAAATGTACTCTTAACAGTAAGGTGGTGGTGGTATGCCATTGAGTTGATTCCAACTCTATGTGGTTGTTAGGTGCCATTGAGTCAGTACTGACTCATAGCGACCTTATGCACAGCAGAATGAAACACTGCCCTATCCTGGGCCAACCTCACTACTGTTGCCACACTGGAGCCCATTGATGCTACCATTTTGGTAATCCATCTTGCTGGGGCTCTTCCTCTTTTTCTCTGACCCTCCACCCTACCAAACATGATATCTTTCTTCAGCAACTGGTCCCTCCTGGCAATATGTCTGAAGTATGAGAGACAAAGTTTGGTCATCCTGGCCTCCAAGGAGCACTCATAGCATCCCTGTAAAGGTTTTCTGAGGCTGTAAATCTTTATGGGAGCAGAAAGCCATATCTTTTTCTCTCACAGTAGCTGGTAGATTTGAATTGCTGATCTTGTGATTAGCAACCCAACACATAACCACTATGCTATGTTACCAGGACTCCTTTTATAAGTGCAGAGAAGAATCTAGATCAAGTCCTACTGTTGCCACGCCTCCTCCCTTTCAGAAGTAAAGTGTGGAAAAGTGAATTTACTTGTCTTAGTGGCCTGGTGTGGTGCTGTGGGTTAATGAGGTGGACTGCAAAGTCAGTTTGAACTACAAGCAAGTTCAGCGATTCAAACTCACCAACCGCTCCTTGGAAACCCTATACAGGGTTGCTATTGGTCAGAACCGACTCTACGGCACTTAACAACAACCACAAGTGACAAGTAAATCCTAGTGTGGCCGAAGGATCAGAACTGGACTTTGAATCATAAGGTTGGCAGTTCAAACCTACCAACTGCTCCTTGGAAACTCTGTACAGGGTCGCTGTGAGTCAGAACTGACTCAATGGCACTTAGCAACAATAACAGCAATGACAAACACAGAGGGCAAATTTCAAGCAATGTAAACAATTAAAATAATTGTTGGCAATTTTATGTTGCCTTTGTTTCTAAAGTATGAGGCTTACTCTTAATTTTTCTTGAAAATGAGCACTTCAGAATGGAAAACGTCATTCCAATGAGTGGCTGGAGAAGAAGTTAGGAGATAGGTTGTGAGTTGGATAGAAAATGCTCTGGTTGGAAGCCAAAATGATGCTTATGACTCAACTAAAGCAACCATCTGCAGTGTAAGCAGATTCTCTGTCAATAAGGATGTGTTTGGTTCAGGGAGTACCCATTGGATCCTGCAATTTGTTATTGTCAAATCTTTACAAATTCTTGTTGCTTTCTCCCTTGGGTTATCATGTTTCATTATTTCAACTTCAAATCCCATCCAGGGTTTAATTATTTTATACCTTCAAAAGGAGCCCATTACACAGACTCATAGAGATGAAAACCCTCAGTCTGGGGCTTATGAGCCAAAGAACAGTGGATATATATATATATCTTCAATTAAGAACTTGGAAACTGGCCAAAGGCATCATGAAATGGTGTCTTAACAGTCTACAAAGGAGAAAGGGGTCACCCTTCTCTTGATCATTAGAATACACAGTTGCATATACCTACTGTGGCTCATGAAAACACTTTTGTCTAGAATGGTTCATCCAAAGCAGAGCAAGCCTGAAATCTTCAGATAAGAGGAGAGGTTTAGTGATTATTAACTACTTTCATTCTCCAGGGCAATAGTAGTTCCCAACCCTTGTCTTAGCAGTTTGGATGATGAAGATCAAGGGCCAATGGCTCAT